TGTATATGTCAGGAACTTGAATCATACATCATTATAAGCATTTTCAAAAGACTACAGTAAACTTTAATCAATAGCTGCCTTCGCGGGCTCTATACCGAAGATCAAATGGTGCGGAAGTATTAGCAACCAGGAAATCTGGGAACGAACCAACCAAGGAACTTTCGCTCAACAAATATGCTGGGAAGAAAGTAGAGATGGATTGGTTAAACGCTAAGGAGACCGCTGAATGACGTTGGGCTCAATGTGGGCCATCATTAGAGTGACATTGCACGCCAGATTATCGTTTTGATGGAATCTGAGTGGGAAGCGATGCGTTAGGTGTGTGTCTGGGGATGGCTTAGATAGGATCGTATCGGGAGGAGATGCCAGCAATCGTTTTGTATCAAACTGTGTGATAAAATGAACACAATTTCAGCGAGTGAAGATGCATTTCCAGTAAATCCTCATCAGGCTTTACAATCACGTTATAAAATATCTGCCATAGACATTTGAAACAATGTGGACCAATCGAATGAAATATAATCAAGAAGAATGTAAGTAGTATAACAATAATAAATTGAGATACTAAGATTAAAATATCCAACTCAAGCACAGTATGATACTGATAACACGGTTAGCAGTATAAATAAAAATAATATTAACAGTTATCCGTTGTCGACGGGATATATAACTATTGTAAGTTGAGTCTGCGAATCATGGGAGGGAGAGGGATTGAACAAACGTTTTCTGAACACAAAGATTGGACTGAAAGACGTTTGTGGCAACTGCCTTGGCTATATATTCAACAGTCGACGGGGAAACAATCCTAGGGAGTCGGGTAGGCATCCTGTGTAGAATTATAAGGGCGGAAACTTTCCTCGGTTTTGTGATCCGTATCTACAAAAAAGTCTCGATTGGCATTCCGAGTTATTTGTCTAACAACATTGGGCAATGTTCAAGAAGGCGACGGTGGGCTTGCAGAGTATTTGGAAGTTATGGTTATTATTCCCTTAGGTTCCGAGTGAAACCTAGGGCTTCAGCAACACATCTCTACTTTGTTCTGTCTCCTGCCATCCTCTTCAGCTGGGTCCACAATTGCCCATAATCCCTTATATCCTCCTTCAGCTCGCATGATATCCACCAAGTCACCCTCTCACGGAAGACCTACTCGTTGCTTCCCATTGGGATTCTACTCCCGCGATGGCCTGCATTGGGTGTGATGTCACTCAATGGTCTCCTCAAAGTATGCCTGATCAATGTATCTGTACTTTCTCTCACATATTTGTTGAGCAGTTGGATCCTGGTTGAATTGTTTGCTTCCAGAGTTTCTTGATATTAATTCTTTCTAGCCGGCCAGCTGGGCATCTGATCTGCAGTATGGAGCCAGCCAGAGAAGGTGGCGATTGGTGATGGTTGTTGTATTCTCTGCTCGCCTGCCTCTTCAGCCAGTTAGTTTCTTTTTGATTGTAAGTCTTCAAGTTTGTGTTAAATTAAACATAAATCGTCTACGTGCTAAACTCAGATCTTCTAGAGTCTTCTTATCGGTGTCCAACGTGTTCCTGTACCCCCACCAATCCCTGTGTACAGTCTTCCGCATAATCCAGTCTACCACACCTTCGAATATTATCTGTGATAAGAGACAGTTGGCCTTTTCCGTACTCCTGTATGTACTTCGAATGTTGGTCTATCGATATTCACTCCATGAATATATTTGCTGTCTTTTTGAAGCACCATAGATTTCCATCCCTATATCATCATCTTCTAGCGCCAATCACCATCAACGGGAGGGATTTGAAAGAGGTTACTTCATTCACTTATCTAGGTAGGGAGCATTGTCTCAACTACAGGCAGTCGGAACGGACGACGACGTCAAATCGAGCGAGAATCGGGAAGGCGAGAAACAGATTCATCAACTTGAAACCAATCTGGAAATATTCGTCACTCAGCCAGGATCAACAAAAAAATTCGGTCGAATTTTCAATGCAAACAGCGTCAAGTCAGTCAGTTCTTCTATACGGAAAGGATCAGGAACTTGGTGGGCGGGTCACAAAGAATATTTCCAACCAACGGGCTATTGCAGATCTTTATTAGCAACTGTCTTCGCTGGTTCTATACTGAAGATCAGATGGCCGGGCCATAAAGAATCACCAACAAGAAACTATGGGGACAAAACAAGAACCAATCGCCAACCAACAAATATGCAGGAGATGGAGTGGAGATGGTTTGGACACTCGCTCGCTGAGGAGGCCGCTGGGTGACATCGCATGCGCATCAGGCAATTGCTCGAGTGGAACCAGGTCAAAAGGGAAGCGGCGAGTGGGACGTCAGTGCAAGGTTGACATGGAGGAGATCGTTTGGAGTTGAGTTGAAACAGTATGGACTAAGATGGATGCAGGTGAAAAGTACAGCAGAAGGAAAACAGAAGCAAGTGGAGACGTGCGGTTGAAGCCACTAGGAACCCAAGGGAACATGATATTAATATATCATCATCTACTCAATGTACAAATATGATTTGCTCATAAAACATTCTAATTTTTAATTCATATACGTCAGTAATTCATTTGTTACTGGTTGTATACAATGATGCATGAATTTATTTCCTCCTTAGGAAATGTTTACAATTTGAGACAGGAAAGATTAATCATCATAATTATTGTTATTACTAACGGTAGTAATGCAAAAAACGATTAGTTTGTTTTTGATTAAACATCTATTGATACGTCTATACTATAAAGAAGAAGAAGAGTGAATACATCTCAGAACTGTTTAAATCATTATTGGGCAAGATGTCTTTTAAGTAAAAAAAAAAATAAAGAGAAGGGACATTGATAGAAAACTAAAAGAAAGACAGAAACAGGCTTTCATCGATGTATCGTCAGTTGGTGTATGTGCACACATACGTGTCTACAAGTGTGCATGTGCGTCCGCTTTTATTTTTTCCTGCTTTTGTGATGTGATGCAAATTAAACCGTCATGCAACCGACACTGGTTAACTTGGAAACAGAATAACAAATTAAGAAAGCACAGTTAAAACAAAATGATACGATTCAATGATGATGATTCATGACAGAAAGGAGAGAGAAATAAGAAAAGAAAGCTTGAATGTAAGAAAAGAAGTCATCGTCAGAATCCAAAGAAAAGTTTTGAGAAAGCAAATAAAACGAAAAACAAAAGTATAATCTTGTTACTTCATTCTTCATTAGGATGTAATGACAGGTTGTAGTGTTTCAGATTATAGATGAGTTAAGTGTAGGTTGTTAGCTGTCCAGTTTATAACTTCTTCTGGTGATCGAAAAGTTAGTCGCCAATACACTTGAGTGGATGGATTATGTGAATGCAAAAGTTGATCAATGTTCCTTCATTTGAAGGCGGTTCACTAAAACTCAGTTGTTTATCATGAAACGAAATTTCAGATATCATGAAATCAATTATGCGATTTTCAAATATCTCCTGAGACTATTTTGTGCATTTGAGTTGTTACTCGGCGACAGTAACGTATTTGGATGTTAGGTACAAGCTTTGGGGAGTTCTACTGTAGGTCTAAATTACTTTAGCTGAACTGTAGTTCATACGTTACTTAGAAACTAATTCAAGCATAAAATAGAGTAGACCTTTCTTGATCATCCCATATCTCGTTAATTTCTAAAAAAATATTTAATCTAACTTACTACATTAAGAAAACCTCGCCTAGATTACTAGCTTGCTAGTTTTCTAGTCGGTCTCAAGCCCGGATAAAGAGGGAGGGTTGGGGCGTGGTGCTAGAAACTCCACCCTTGTAAAACAACCAAATCGCTACAGAAACGTCAACGAATAAATACATTAAAAATTCTAAAAACATAAACAATAGCCTTATTTTTTGCTGGAATCGGGGAAGTGAAATGACGCAGGCTGGTGAAAGCCTTCGGAAAGCCAGTCACCCGATGTGCCTTCTTTCGATGAATGCAAAAGTAAGGATGGGTACATGGAATGTTCGTGCAATGTACGAAACTGAAAAGGCTTCCCAGGTAGCAGCAGAAATGAGGAGATATAGAAGTGCTGGGAATCTGCGAAATCAGAAGGAACGGAACTGGAAGGTGCCAACTACCAACTGGAGAGACAATAATCTATTCCGGCCACACAGAAGGCAACCACGAGAACACCGAGGGAGTGGCCATCATGATGTCACCAACAGCAGCCAAAGCTCTCATGCAGTGGGAACCAATCTCCCCCAGGATAATGACAGTCACGTTCAGCTCAAAAGGAAGGAAGGTTAGAATGATCCAATGCTATGTGCCCAAAACGTCTCAGAACAAGAGAAGAAGGAGGCATTCTACAGACAACTATAAACAATAATGGACAACGTCCCAAATGGCGATATCAAAATCCTGATGGGCGACATGAATGCGAAGCTGGGAGGAGACAACACAGGAAGAGAACTCACCATGGGTCGAGAGGCCCTCGGTGAAAAGAACAACAATGGTGAACTCTTCTCAGACTTCTGCGCCTTCAATGATTCAAAAATGCACTGAAAAAAAACAGGTTGGGACATCGTTATTTCAATAGGTAAACAAAATTTCCACTGTAATGCCTAGTTAATTATTCGTGCTTCAGTAATCACTTGAATGCCTAATATGCCTAATATTCTGTTAAAATTATTTTCTTTTGTTTGTTAATTTGGGCGTTGAATAAATCCTGCTTTCTTTTTTGTGTCTTATTATGTCTTCACTTTTCTTCTAAAAATAAAAATAGAAAAGTAAATGATGAACAAATTATAATTATTTTGCCCATTGAAACGCTAATCCTCATTTTTAATTGGCCAATTTTTTGCGTTAATCTGATTGGTTAAATGTGTAGAAACTATAAAAGTGTATAATGTGTATAATTTCTGATTTCGTGAATACTGCTCATTAGTATTCATGTGGTACAGCAATGAGCATTTCTAGGATAAATTTACTTGCTGATAGAATATATGTGTAACAGGATTAATGTGATGATATACACCAACTCATACAAAATGTGATCCTGTCTTCAATGTACATATTATGCTGTGTATAACATTTGAAAGTATAACTTATCTTGTCTGGTTGGATATAAACCTTAAAACACGACTGCTGATATTTCTCACTTTGTTAAATATGTCAATGTTCACGTGTAAAAACACAGAATTTTCACCGGAAGTGTTTACTTCGGTTAAACAACATTCTTCTTTCAGTTCAGATTTGCCTAAATATGTTACATCGTATTCAGATAGTATAAAGAAGCATAGAGTGGAATTAATACCGATTAAAGCGACTCCAGAGTATGGTGAGTGATAATATTATATATATTGTATTATTGTTACAATTATTGTTATCATGTTTTGCCACTAGATCAAAAAAAACAGGGATCAACAAAAACAATACCAAATTTGAGTCTCATGTATATAATATATGTGTAAAACTTGGGCACTGTGGTAGTAATTCCATATTAGTTTGTTTATTAGATGTATCACACAGAGAAACAGTATTATTTACTGGATGACTAGGTTTCGAACACAATTTATTGTTCATAATCATAACAACTGTAATCACACGACTTCGAAACTTGAGTTTTATAGTTTTCTTTGTTCTCTCCTATGTGTCGTCTTTGGGGTAGTAGAATTTTCCAGATATCAGGGACAGGTGATGAATCATTCCTATTACATCTACTTGCAATTGATTCCATAAACAAAGCTTTTGTTATCAGTCTCTCCCTCCACCCTATCACATTAGATTTTAAAACTGTAATCCTATCCCATCGAGCCTATTGTATGGTTGTGTGTAACTGCATGCAGTGAGTGCTATCGCTGAACTATTCTCTAGATTTCTTATCTTATTTGGGTCGACCAATCTAGATTTTGCTGCCAGGTTTTTATTTTCGGCTAGTCTGACTGTCCCTGTTCTACTACTATGACCTATGTATTTGACCTGACTATGAAGGCAGGTAGGGTATTAGATAAACTAAACTGTTTTGTTTTAAAGGCTCCACAAGATGATGCTTTAACCGACAAAGCTTGTTTCTAATTGAGATTGTCAGTTTGAATGCCACTTTTATTCCTGCCTTGTTAAAATTCTGTATAAGGTTTCCGAGATTTATTCCCTGTATAGAATTACTGTTGATGATTTAGATTCCTTATTGTTGGTGTCGTCATTAATGATATATATACGCATATATATTTATGTATATATGTGCGTCGGTGGCACAGGGGTTAGGACTCTCGCCGACCATGCACATGGTCCGGGGTTCGAGCCCACGCCGACGCACACCTGATATCTATGGTCGGCCTGCAAAATTTGGGCTACCGATATCCATGCTGAAAATTCCATACTTGTACCAAAAATACAGTGTGGAATCAAGCTGTAAATCAAAAAAATAAAATTACCAAATCAGATTCACTCTTTCCCAAAGTTGGATTTTACATTAAAGAGAGAACTGGTTGTGAATTTTAAATGACATTGAAATCGATCTACATTTTCGAAAGCTGCTTACAGTACATATTAGATAGTGAATATTCATTATGAGAGATTACAAAAATAACAAGTTCGAGCATTATTGTTAATCACAGCTAAGTTTGCATATTTCATTTTTACGTATCATTTTTTCCAAGTCACACAATATTTACATTTCGTATTGCAAATCTGAGTTGTGATCATGATGTCAAGCAGAGCATAGGAATTACTTTAGCGTATTTTTGATTGAACACTAGTCTCTAACTAGTGTAGTGTGTGTGCACGTGTATCTAGTCCTATCGTTGGTGCAGAGTGAATTCTATCAGTCAAGCTTGAAATGTGACCACCATGCTAGGTGGCTCGCTATAATGGTGCACTATGAATTGTTGGTATTACATGGTTGGAGGCTGTTGGTTGTAAGTCTTGGACCTAGGTTTCGTGGTAACGTCTATGACTGCAGAACTAGGTGACGCGGGTTCGGATCTCAGAGGGGATAGGATTTCCTTCTACTTTGTGGATACGCTTTTCTGACTGGTGAGTGTCGCCAACTAGCACGACACATAGGTCAACCAAGGCTTCCTGTGGGTGACTGCCTCTAACCATCTAATATTATTAGACAGCTTACTTTGCAAATGCACTAATAACGTTTATCTTTTGTATGAGGATCGCATTACAAGAAGGGTCTAGGGATCCATTGATTTTCTAGACTGATGTTCTTATTATTAAATTATATATGTGGAGATGGTATGAGCAGGCTGATAATAATAATGATTTGTTTTATTCGAAAACACTACTTATCATACAGACTGGAATATTCAGCATTTGCTACAACACTGCATTTAATTCACTCGACAACAGAAAAACAAAAAAAATAATAATCACATGGTATGAGTAACCAAAATTAGTAACAGCAATATTTTTGTCATTAACAGCAATAATAAAGTTACAAACTTGAACAAGGCATTAAGAAGACAAATTTCGCGAGATGATATCATTTCGTAGTTTCTTTACAACCGCTTTACAACTAACATGGTTAACAATGATAAAATAAAGTTCATGAAAATTACTCAGTTAAATAAAAACAAAAGTACATACTAATGACCAATCATATTAAGATAGGTCATGCAGCCCAGGGTAGGCGAAGATTGAAGTCTATTGATTTTTGTACACACAGTTTAGGCTGTATGTGATTAATCCAAAGTGCTTCCATCACCTTCAATAACCTTGAATTAGAGTTATGTGAAATAATTGTGAAACAGTCATTAATATTTATTTTGTGACCAGACATTAATAAGTGTTTTGCAATGGGTGATGCTGGATTTCTATTAAGATTAATCGCGTTGGGATTTTCGATATGGTTTATTAGCCATTTTGGAATATGTTCTTTTCGACGACATTGGAACATTCTGTTAGTTCTACCTATATAGGTGTCACCGCAGCTGCAGGTGAACTTGTAGATACAGTTTGAAGTAGAGTCCACAGAATTTCGTCCTTTAATCGTAGGAACAGGGATCGAAAATGTTCGGCAAGTGAGAAAAAGAGATGCGGCGTAGAATGTGCGTTTGATGGCTGATCGAAGTCTTTGAGTTGTCAACTGCATAATCTGGTCGCCCTTGAGTGGTAGATTAATAAAGATGGCTTTCTTTGGTACAGAAGCTGTCTTTTTGAGATGTGGTTTTTCTTTACTGTGACAAGTGATGAAGCTCTCCGGATAACCATTAGCTAATAAAACTGAATGTACATGTCGAAGCTCATCCATCAGTGTGTCACTCGTGCGTATTTTTCGGGCCCTTGAGGACAAACATTTCACAAGGGAACGTTTATACTGGATAGAAACAAAACCAGTAAAATGAAGATATTGTCCAGTCCATGTCTGTTTACGAAAAATAGATCGCTGAATCGTTCCATCATCTCTCCTTGTCATTGTAATATCCAGGAAACCGAGTTTGTTATTCGATTCTAGTTCGGAAGTCACTTGAATATTTGGATGAATATGATTAAATAGAGTAATGAAGTTTTCAATAGATTCACTATTATTACCAATAATAAGAGTATCATCTACATAACGTTTATACAGCATAAATCCTCCAAGCATACCTTGCATTTGTTTCTCTAATTTCGACATAAATATATCTGCTTGTTTTAAAGCTACAAACATTAAAAATGATAGAATGATCATAGTAATGATAATAAATGAATTTATAATATAACTGAAAAAGTGTTACTGTAGATTACAAATAGGAGAAGATTAAAGAGCCACTTATACTGATAAATACCTAGTAAAGTGTAAGTTTCATGCTTAAAACCATGTTTAACGCGGACAGGCCGAAAAGATTATCACTGAGGTTTTGTACTTACATGTGCGAGTGATCGCATAATCTTTTCTAATGGCTTCTTGTCCCACACGACGCGATGCAAGGCAGGAAGATTCGTGAGTAGAGAGAGTGCTGAGAGTGAGGCAAAATGGATTTAGCCGATATGATTTCGCATGAGTTCAGACGTTTGTCGACTATAGTAGTAACCAGATGACACACCACTTGTCCCACTGACTTCCTTTTATACCCTTCACCATATGATATGGTATTTTTTGACTAGCCCAGGAAAGACTAAAGGTGAGGATTTGGCGAAGTTAACCAATTTTTAAAGGAGAGGTTGAGCAACACCTACCTGATTGTCTCAACTTCTTGGTGTGGAAGGTTAGATAGAAAATGTTCTTAAAAATCAAATAGACATGGGATAACCGTGGGGGTGGGGGTTAGAGGAAAAAACTATTCCAAGGTATTTATTACTGGACTATGTTTCAATTTCGGTGACTTGTCTGCTACAGACATCTTCTGATTGAATCAGTTAACATCGATCACAATTATGCTTGAAGGTGAAGTTAACTGTCTGACATTTGGAGGGATTCAACGTAAGATCATTTAATTTAAGCCACTGGCCAATGCTTGACAGTGTAGAGTATTACAATCAGGAAATAACTGTCAACGAGACAGTCATATTATCAGAGTATTTAACGAAGCTGAATTTCTTTGCAAACTGAGGCAAGTTATGTGAGAAGAACGTAAAAAAAATCGAAAAGGAGAGGGAACAACATCTTATAAGGTCATTGACCTCAGTAATCTGGTTTGAAATCTTTGAGCCAAATATAGACTCCTGATGATTATAGATATACCTTAGGAAGGGATGTTTACAAGCATAAGTGAAACCTAGTGGTGAAGAATTATTAACACACACACGCACAAGCATATAAGCATTGTCTTGTCAGTTAGGGGATTTCATCTATTGTAGGGAAAAAACATATATTCGAGTCAAAGAGTGAAGGTTAAATATAATCTTTGAGGTCAATCAATATAATAAATACCTTTAGTTAATACGAAGTATTGAAGTGCATAATTAATTTTAATCTCTACCTCCTATTGTCTGCTAAATCAAAATAAAATGCCTAATTCTGCCTAGTTAACATATTTGTCCTTTCTCTGTTGAAAAAACTCCCATTCAACCCTATTGAACTCAGAACTGCATGCAATTAAAGTAGCATAATTAACAGCTTAGAAAGTAATTAATAAGAAATTTTCCACTTTTTCTAATATTCGTCAGCCATGCACAAGATGTGGATTCGATTCCCAGCCGACGCATTCCCGAACTTTGCTTAGCTGGATATAAGTCTGGTATGGAAGAAATGTTTGGTGTGAGGTTGACAACCCTACGTCATAAAATTAAACAACAACACAGTTAGTGGAACTTGACAGCTCTAGGTTCGAGGCCCTACACTTTATCTGGAACTCAAAGAAATAATAAAATGGAGTAGATATTAGTGAATCAGCTCAGATAGTTTCA